ATATACTTCAAATTTTAACAAATGTTATATGATAATAAGTCCTAGACCTCATTAGTTTATCGGTGGCCATCTTGCATTCTGGCGGCCATCTTTGAAGTTTTAAGATAAATCTTGTCATCATGATTTCAGGAAAACCAAACGGATTTACTTCAAATTTCCACACATGTTACATGGTAAGAAAATCTAGAGGTGAATTACTTTTCAGCAGCCATCTTGCATTCTGGCGGCCATCTTGGAAATTTTGGGATAAATCTTGTCATCGTGATTCCAGGAAAACTACCTAACAGATTAACTTCAAATTTTCACACATGTTACATGGTATGAAGTTCTAGAGCTGATTAACTTTTCAGTGGCCATCTTGCATTCTGGTGACCATTTTGGAAGGTTTATAGATAAATCTTGTAATCACGATTCCAGAAAAACCACTTCACAGTTTTACTTCGAATTTTCACACATGTTACATGGTATGAAGTTCTAGAGCTGATTCACTTTTCGGTGGCCATGTTGCATTCGATCGGCCATCTTGGACGTTTTTAGATATTTTGAATTTGAAGTAAAACTGTTACGTGGTTTTCCTGGAATCGTGATGACAAGATTTATCTAAAAACTTCCAAGATGGCCGACAGAATGCAACATGGCCACTGAAAAGTTGATCAGCTGTAGTACTTCTTACCATGTAACATGTGTGAAAATTTGAAGTAAATCCGTCTGATGGTTTACCTGGAATCGTGATGACAAGAAAGTGAGACTTCGGAATGCCACCTTGTCTTACCCCATTTTAGTGGCTTTTGCCCCTGTTTATATCAATATAAAAGGTAGCATGTAACCGTCTATGTAACATGTGTAAAAGTTTCAAGAAAATCAGTAAAGTGGTTTTCCTGGAATCACGATGACAAGATTTATCAAAAAAAAATCCCAAGATGGCTGCCAGAATGCAAGATGGCCGCCGCAAAGTTAACATTTGAAGTACATCTGTTACGTGGTTTTTGTGAAATCGCGATGACAATATTTATCTAAAAAAAATCCCAAGATGGCTGCCAGAATGCAAGATGGCCGCCACAAAGTTAATCAGCTCTAGAACTTCTTACCATGTAACATGTGTGAAAATTTGAAGTAAATCCATCAGATGGTTTACCTGGAATCGTGATGACAAGAAAGTCAGGAAATTTGAAGTAAATCCGTTTGGTTTTCCTGAAATCGTGATTACAAGATTTATCTTAAAACTTCCAAGATGGCTGCCAGAATGCAAGATGGCCATCGAAAAAATAATAAGGTCTAGGACTTTTTACCATGTAACATGTGTGAACATTTGAAGTACATCTGTTACATGGTTTTTGTAAAATCGCGATGACAATATTTATCTAAAAAATTCCAAGATGGCTGCCAGAATGCAAGATGGCCACCGCAAAGTTAATCAGCTCTAGAACTTCTTACCATGTAACATGTGTGAAAATTTGAAGTAAATCCGTCTGATGGTTTACCTGGAATCGTGATGACAAGAAAGTGAGACTTCAGAATGCCACCTTGTCTAACCCCGTTTTGGTGCCTTTTGCCCCTGTTTCTATCAATAGAAGAGGTGTTTTCTTTAAGAGGGAAGTCTGTTCTTTCAAACGGTACAATCATTTTATGTGGGAAAGTACCGGACAACGAAACCCCTGTTTGAAATAAGTTTGAAATAAGTTAAATATTACACGCAAATATTGCGATCAAAAATATCTTCGTTCTGCCGATAAACCCATACAATTGGCGATCTAACAACATAAAAAGAATTCTAAAACACTCTGGAATGTATCGAGGTAGGTCATTTAATAGTGCAATGCGTAGTTCATTCTCCAACATTGTAGAAAGACAGGCTTACCAATGATACGGGCGTACGACCACAATCTAAAGGGGTCGTAGGATGCGATAGATCTGAATTGTATTATAATTATTGAACCTTGGCTTGAAATTTTACTATAGTTCACGGTGTTCCAGATGGAATTACTTCTAGCCAAGAATTGGCTAAAGACTTGAGTAAACTTAGATCTACTGTGCTATCCCGGTGTGCTATGCAACTGTAATCAGAGGGAAATCTTACTTTGCTAGAATTTTTTTCATGGCCTGACTTCGTCGCTAACATGCTAAATATAAGAGTTAGCTGACGTTTGGGAGTCTGACTTACCTTCTTAAGGTTAGAACCCGAATCTTAATGAAACCGTATCACCTTTGTTGCGTCGATGATGATGCATAAACACAGCATTTGATAGAAATTAGTGTAAATGCTTTTCCCACTTTTTCATTTTTCATCAATGTTGACTTCCGGGAAGGCGTTGTAGTTATCATGAAATAACGCATTGACCCTTGAACTTTACTTTGTTGACGTGTCAACCAAGCATGTCTGGTGTGAAAATTAAAAGAATATTAAGCAATGTTCTACATCCGCCAAGCTAAGTGAAGTAGCCAATATCTAAAATTACCAATTTCAAGTGAAGTACGCAACGAACGAAACTGCGTGATCTACACTCCCACTATTGGTCTGAACGAAATGCTACGTAGAAATATGAGCCGTCTGCTGTATTAGTCGATTAATAGAGTAAGACCTGTTGGTGATGCTTTATAATTTAGACCAAAACATTGAAGAACAAACGAACCTGTAAATCGTGAAAACAACGAACAAATATTCGGTTTTCACATATGTTCGGAATGTACTAAAAACCCTTCGACCCTGCGACCTACGACTTACAGCGTGTCAAGAATTTTTGAAATATATTTTTATAAAAACCCTTCGACCTTCTAGATATTTCTCAGTCCATATGAAGTTGCTGGAAATATTACTTTGTGTATAGAAGTTAAGAATCTGTCCCAAGAGAGTTAAAGATATTTAAAGCTGGACTTCGATCGGAGCCGGCGACATGATTTTGGAAAGGTTTCTAAATGAAGAACGTGACGTCACTTCCGAATCATAGCATTCAAAATAGGTAGCGTTTAATTACTCCCACCATTCATAAAATCACGGTGGTCTAGCGGAAGAATGCTTGCTTAGCACGCGGCAGGCCCTGGTTCGAATCCCGCATTCGCCTTTTTATTTTTTTAACTAAATGATTGTTCTTTGACATTACGCAGATAATTTTTTTTTTATTTACATAAACTTTATATTAGAGCTTGAAAATGTAAAAACAATATATGTCAACATATTGCGTTTTGGAGCGATGTGCAGGTTTAATGTATTCAAGCACATTCGAATGTGAACGTTTCTTACCTCCTCAGTAAAAATATTTGTGCTTTTCCCATCACATTGTAACAGTGGCGCATCGTGCATATTTTCAGGAGGTCAAATTTTTTATATAGTTTAAAGAGAACCGTCTTTTGATTTTATCAACTTTGATTCAATTTGGATTTGTATAGTTAAGAATCTAATGCCAACTAAATAAGTAGATTCTTTGTTTTGCATCCTACAAAATCCAAAGCATGCAAGGGTACAAGGAAAATAAACACAAACCGTCAAGAAAAAGCTTGCAAGCTAGGTCATATTAGGTTCGTATAACCAGCTTTTGCCAATTTAAGTTTTTCAAAAGGATCAAGGGGTGAACATTTGACAATTTTCAAGTGGCCCAGAAATCTTGAAAATGCTCAGAATCGTGAAAAATTGTACTGATTTTGAGAGAATATTTGGCCAATGGAGTGATCCACTTGAACCCACGAATGTCCCCCCCTGAATATATACATTTTAAGGGCATAAAGGTTATTACAAACACATCTATACAACTATATTTATTAGACATAGATATGAAACATTTCAGAACTAGATAACAGCAACGCGAGGTGGAGCAAATCCCATCGAACTTTTGATCTCAAAATCGTTCAACTACTTTTCAAGTTTTAGTAAAAAAGTAATATAAGACGAAAAATTTCGAACGCAATGCGTGACATATACGTAATTCGCGTGAAAAGTCCGAACGAAATGCGTACGTTTTTTTTTCGGAGTTCGTATTTTTGCTGTGTAGACGAACTTTTTTAGAAATTTTTCTACTGAAACATTTTTGCTTGACAATTACCAGGTAAAATGCGTATTTGCGTGCACAGGGAGCTCAAGTTGGAACTATACGTAATCATTTAGTAAACTGGACTGGGAAATCAGAGGTCGAAGGGTTTTTCAATAAAATATATTCCAAAAATTCTTGACACCCAGTAAGTCGTAGGGTCGAAGGGTTGTAGGTCGAAGGGTTTTTAGTACATTCCCATATGTTCGGTAATTTTTCGTATTGAAACTTCCGGAACTTACAAGGAAATCATTCATTTTCACGGTCCATGATTTACCTCTTGGATGTTGTGGCAAATGCTCCATGGTTGACGGAACAAAGGTGATATGGTTTCATTAAGATTCGGGTTCTAACCTTTAGAAGGTAAGTCAGACTCCCAAACGTCAGCTAACTCTTATATTTAGCATGTTAGCGACGAACTCAGGCCATGAAAACAATTCTAATGTGCCTACAGTTGGGGACAAAAATAAATGACAGGTCGATTTTCGATCACCATTTCCTAATTATGGTGGTCTGAAAGCCCATAATTTCCAATATTGTCTAGATATATATCGCTTAAAATTTGTATATTTTACATTTTGTATAATCTCATCCACTGATGTATGGCCTCTTGTAAATTCTCTTATTTTTAACATGGGAAATCCTCACTTCAGCAAATCCACCTGTCATTTATTTATGTCCCCAACTGTAGAAGAATATCATGACTGCAAGATATTTATAACTGAAATCACAGGGTCAGGAAGAAGATTTAAATCCCCCACTCACTGTGTAATGTATGAATTGACTGAAATAATTTTCTAATTTCTGAATCTGATTGTTGACTGAATTGAAAAAATCATTTTCATTTATTTTTCAACGAAAAATAACAGCGTATTCCGAGGCATCAAACGTATATGGTGGCCTATAAAAAATAGTGTATAATTGAGGTTACTATGAGACTTTATATATATGATTTAAATCTCATTAAAAAGAGTAAAATACCTTTTCTTCATTGAATTCTTGTTCGACCTTCGCGCTCATGGTGGCTGCCATCTTGTGACGTCATTCCCAATGAGAACCCAGTTCAGTGTAATGCAATGAACGAAAAGGATTTCTTGAAACTCCCGGGTCATTAATTATAGACATCTTTAACAAGAGGCATGCCAACCAATATATGTCCCTTCATGAGTATTGAGTTCACATGGGAAGATTTGAACTTTCAATATATATTTTTTAGCAGCTAAGAATAGTTAAAGTTTTTTTGCATATGAATTTTGGTCAAGACAAGTCCTTGTTAGTCCCCGGGGGTTAGTCGAGCTTTTGAAAGCAATTTCAAGCAAATTGCTAGAATACTTGAGGGAGTTTAACCCCATAAATGTGGGGTAGGATTTTCAAATTTTATGGCAATACCTATTCTAATGTGCTTAAAATGTTCGAATGTTTTCATTATATAAAATCACCATGGAAAGTCGATGACACAACCCATCATATCTCACTTTTCTAATGTAAATGTTATTTTTCTCGAACGATATAGATGACTTTCCATATAACATAATAGGCGTAACCAGGGGGTGCGATGGGTGAACCCCCCCCCCCATAACCAATAAAACCATGAGAAAGAAGAAGACAAGAGCTTTAAAATGCTTTTTATTTGAAGCTTCTCGTTCAATTTTGAAGGAAGTCGCATCAATTTTTGTAAAATTCAAATAAATCTTATTTTGGGCTTGTTATGCCACAATCGCAACCCCCTGACTGAAAACCAAAATTGTTTTAGCGATCGCACCCCCTCCCCGATCGAAAGCTGGCTACGCATTTGAACATTGAGAGATTTTAACGATTTCTGAATATTTGAATTTAGATACATATTATATTGTCTGATTCCATCGTGTACACATGCAAACCGACAAATACAGATTAAGAAACTAGTATGATCAATCGATTTAAAGAAACATATTCGTGATCAATGATACAATTAACTCAAATGTCTGCAACCTTTTTATAACACTATATCGCAAGACCAAATACCCCCCAAAAAAGTCAAAAAGGTCAACGTTGGGTGCCAAAAATGCTATATTTCCTTATAATAATCTTTTATCTTTCAAATGAAATAAAATCCATGGCCAGATAATAGCTTTTCAGAACTGAAGTTGTACTTTATGTACTTTCAAGGATAGGATTTATCGCCAAAACTCAATGAAATCAATGGAACGCGAAATTGAATAATCAACATTTTCAAGTTGTTTTTGTCTGTAACATTCATATTTCAAGAAGTAATATCAATAACAATAAGTGATTCGATAAGATGTTGTCCAAGCATTACGGAACATGCACAAAAAATTGCAAAGGGATTCATCCATGTCATCAGGTAGAAGAAAAAACTTTTTTCTCTCGAATTCGTATTAGAGAATGCGATTCACGAATATTTGGCGAAATTGAAGTTTACTTTTGAAATTCATAAGATAGTCAATAGTGTCTTGATTTTGATGGAATAAAGCATTTGGAAAGAGAATTCATGAATCTGTTCAAAGATTATTCAACAGAGCAATAATGATTACTTTGCATTTTCTACAGTATTAGAAATAAGGCAACTTTCAATATTTTAAAACTAATTCATTATTATATGAATTTCATTTCTCAAAAAGTGTCATTTATCTGTGCCCAGATTAAAAAAATAACAGAGGCATAAAAACTTTGCAAAAGAGTACTAGGCCTATTGAAAGATCGAACATAATATATAGTATCCAAAAAACATTTTTTAGGCTAGTGTGAGATTACTTTTACAACTTATGCACAATGAGAAAATATCACTGAAGAACATAGGAAAATTAATCAGCCAGTAATTAGTTAATAAGACAGTGTTTAGGACGGAAAATCCAAAAATAGCCACCTTACGTAGACTTTCATATTCGATGATTGAGTTAACGTTGTTATATTTATATTATACTGCGACCATTGAAATATGACAACTATGAATCTCACTATATTCCGAGTGATCATTGAAAGCTGAGAACTATGGATCTCGTAGACACATACATGAGCTGATTGTGATAAGGATCTCATATACTGTAGATATATTCAGTGATCATTGAAAGCTGAGAACTATGGATCCAATAGACACATATACAGGAGCTGATTGTGATAAGGATCTCATAGATATTTTCGGTGATCATTGGAAGCTGAGAACTATGGATCTCATAGACACATGCAGAAGCTGATTGTGATAAGGATCTCATAGATATATTCGGTGATCATTGGAAGCTGAGAACTACGATCCCATAGACACATACAGGAGCAGACATGGATCTCATAAATATACAGTATTTAGTGACCATTGCATTGAAGCTGAGAACTATGGATCTCATAGACACATACAGAAGCTGATTGTGATAAGGATCTCATAGATATATTCGGTGATCATTGGAAGCTGAGAACTATGATCCCATAGACACATACAGGAGCAGATATGGATCTCATAGATATACAGTATTTAGTGACCATTGCATTGAAGCTGAGAACTATGGATCTCATAGACACACACAGGAGCTGATCGTGATAAGGATCTCATAGATATATTCAGTGATCATTGGAAGCTGAGAACTATGGATCCCATAGACACATACAGGAGCAGACATGGATCTCATAGATATTCAGTATTTAGTGACCATTGCATTGAAGCTGAGAACTATGGATCCCATAGACACATACAGGAGCTGATCGTGATAAGGATCTCATAGATATATTCGGTGATCATTGGAAGCTGAGAACTATGGATCCCATAGACACATACAGATGCAGACATGGATCTCATAGACACATGTATGTTCAGTGACCTTTGGAAGCTGACAACTATGGATCACATAGACATAAACAGGAAGCAATTTAATAAAAAGCTAAATGTTCTCTTATCATACATCTTCCATTACAAGCCTTTTTTCATCAAAAATATGGTGTAGGTATACAGGTTTTCGGTACAATGCGCATCGGTATAATAAGGTGATCCTCATAGACACCGGGATATACACATACATAAGCTTACATGGATCTCATTGATATATTCAGTGATCATTGGAGTCATTGGCAGCTGACAACTATGGATCTCATAGACACATACAGGAGCTTACATAGATTTCATAGAAATATTCAGTGATCATTGGAAGCTGAGAACTATGGATCATAGCCATAGACATACTAGTATTCAGTGATCATTGATACGGGGAGTAAGACACCCCACTCTCAAATATTCTCCATCTAATAAAGGCTACAGAATAAAAGAGGGAGGGCTAACTTACTCTCTATATCGTTGACAACTAAATGATAAATGAATAAACGCGAGAACTCACGATGAAATCTCATATTCACACATACTACAAGGAGGACTGGCTCCCAGGATTCCAACGCACTATTTTAATATCTAAGCAATGTCTTCAGTGCTGATTTCTATGACAAAGTTAGCACAAATGAACTGCAAGGAGAATGGTTGATATTGCAGAGACCATGACCTTTAAAAATGTTGTTATTGGTGACTATAACTGTTTATAATTCATAATCAGCGTTCTAAAAGATTGGAATTGATATCTTGTTTAGTTAGGAAATAATAGAGATAGAACCCTATGAGCCAATCCTTCACGATCATTGGTAGCTAGCAGACAACAGGATCTCATAGTCATTTTAAGCGTTTATTTGAATATGACATCCATGAGTGCCATGGGTACTGTATGTACACAGTGATATTTCGGAGCTAACAACTATGGATCTCATGGACATAATATTATACAGTGATGATTTCGAGCTGACAACTATGGATATCATAGTGCTTCCTGGTCATCTCAACCCCAAGTCAAATCAACCCAGTAAAACTGGATGACAAGTTAGCATTCTACCACTGAACCATCAGTGCTTTCATGTTGTAACTAAAATATAATTCATAAAAATAGTAATTTCTATTCATATCAGTATTTAAATGAAAAACATTGCACTAACCAGGGACTCGAACCACAGCCAGATGGATGACAGGTTAGCATTGTACCACTTAACCATCCATGCTTTCATGTTGTAACTAAAGTATAATTTATAAAAGATGTAATTTTTCTTCATAACCTTATTTAAATGAAAAATATTGCACTGACCAGGAATCGACCCATAGCCAGCTGGATGACAGGCGAGCATTCTACCACTGAACCATCAGTGTTTACATGTTGTAGGTAAAGTATAATTCATTAGAGATGTAGTTTCTCTTCATATAAGAATTTAAATGAAAAACATTGCATTGACCAGGAATTGAACCATGGGCAGCTGGATGACAGGCGAGCATTCTATCACTGAACCATCAGTGATTTCATGTTGTAAGTAAAATATAATTCATAAAAATAGTAATTTCTCTTCATATCAGAATTTAAATGAAAAACATTGCACTGACCAGGAATTGACCCATGGCCAGCTGGATGACAGGCGAGAATTCTACCACTGAACCATCAGTGCTTACATGTTGAAGGTAAAGTATAATTCATAAAATAGTAATTTCTCTTCATATCAGAATTTAAATGAAAAACATTGCACTGACCAGGAATTGAACCATGGGCAGCTGGATGACAGGCGAGCATTCTATCACTGAACCATCAGTGATTTCATGTTGTAAGTAAAATATAATTCATAAAAATAGTAATTTCTCTTCATATCAGTATTTAAATGAAAAACATTGAACTAACCAGGAATCGACCCATGGCCAGCTGGATGACAGGCGAGCATTCTACCACTGAACCATCAGTGCTTTCATGTTGTAAGTAAAATATAATTCATATAAATAGTAATTTCTCTTCATATCAGTATTTAAATGAAAAACATTGCACTGACCAGGAATTGAACCATGGGCAGCTGGATGACAGGCGAGCATTCTACCACTGAACCATCAGTGATTTCATGTTGTAAGTAAAATATAATTCATAAAAAATGTAATTTCTCTTCGTATCAGTATTTAAATGAAAAAAATTGCACTGACCAGGAATCGACCCATGGTCAACTGGATGACAGGCGAGCATTCTATCACTGAACCATCAGTGATTTCATGTTGTAAGT